CATACAGCTAGATCTGGAATATATAGTGTGCAAATTGAGAAAAAAATTAAAAAACTTTTAAAGAAATGATTTTCTTACTTTTTCATCTCTTTTGTGAGAATGAACTTTAATAAATATGCTTGAACTTTAAGATAAACTTGTTGTCCCCCATTGCTTTCATGAAAAAGAAAGGAGTAGTAGTAAACAAGATGTTCAACAAAATGCAAGGTAAGAAAACCCATATTTGGTTTTGAAGCCAACATCAATAATTTGTACCAACGCATGTTTTGATGCAATGTAAAGAGTTATTGACCCCCATAGCTCCACTAAAACGACTCTAAAGTTTGAAGAATATGGTATAATGAAATAGTACTGTATTAGTAAGATATTATTCATCTGCTTTTCAAAAAAAAAAAGTAAGATATTATTCATCTAGTAGCTTTTTTCCCATTTTTATAAATTTTCTAAAATGTTGACTACAATGGACTAGGTTATGCCAGACTTTTAACCCTATTTGCATCAATAATGCTTACACTAATGTTTTTAGTTGACACTGAAAAATTTTTCTACAATAAACTTTTTTTACATGAGTAATGTTGATGCAAATAACATATATTTGCATCAATATCTCATGGTTGACGCTTAAAATGTTGATGCTTTTATGCTTGCATTAGTAAGATATTATTTGTCTAGTAGCTTTTTTCCATTTTTATAAATTTTTTTAAATGTTGACTACAATAGACTAGTTGCCACTGAAAATTTTTTCTACGACAAACTTTTTTTGTATGAGTAATGTTGACACAAATAACAAATATTTGCATCAATATTTCATGGTTGACACTTAAAATGTTGACACTTTTATGCTTGTATTCTTGTAGTGGTTTTGTCTTTCAAGTTTCTTGTCAATTTCCCTTTTTTTTGGGTAAAATTCTTGTCAATTTCCTTGACTAGTAAATTTTGTACATAAGGCAAACGTGACTGCTAATATTATTCAGACCTTTTTTGATTTGAAATACATTTGCACCTTCTCTTCTTCGAAATAAAGTGGGAAATGAAAATTTTAGTAATATTCAAACCAATAACGGCCTAAAATATTAAAGCGCCAAATTCTTCCCAAAAAATAAAAAATAAGTCATAGTGCGCAAAATTTTGAAAATTTTATTTTAGGCCGTTTACGGTCTGAATTATTTTCTCCTATTTAGGACACAGCTGTGCCTCATTCCTCATATTAATTCTTTTTTTTTTTTTGTCCTGTCCCTCTTTCTTTTCTGTGCATCCTCTTTTCTTGGTTCCCTTCCTCTTTCTCTTCTTTCTTCCCTTGTTCTTTAATTTTTTTTGTTTCTTTCGTTTCTCCTAATTTTTCTTTTCATCAGCTCATCCGTCTTTTTCCTCCTATTCTTTCTTTTCCTTCTATTATTTTCTACTTCTATTTGTTTTACTCTTTTCATATTTTCATATCTTTAATGTATATATTGGTATTTCATTTCTTATTTTTATGTTAATATATAAATCTTCACTAACTTGTTTTTCTTCTTTTTTTTTTCTGCTTTTTTTGTAGGTTCTTATGAATTGTACATTGTGTAAATCCTAATCAGCATATTTCCATCTTGTATTTGTTTTGATATAATTTTTATGTTTTTCTTATTTTCATTTTCAATCTACTATTACCACTCTTTTTTTTTTCTTTTTTGTAGGAAATTATGACAATAAGAATCTAAAATGGATAAAACTAAGTGTTTATTTATTTTTTTAATATTTTGTGAAATTTGTTTTATATCTACTAATCGTTTTCTTTTTATTTTTGTTTGTAGGAAATGATCAAAATTGCACCATGAAATTGGAAAAATAAATTGTTAATTAATTAATTTTCTTTTAATGTAATATTTATATAAATTTAATTTTCATTTTTTTACAATTGAGTCTATCTTGATTCAAATCGATACTGGTCTATATATACTTTCAATTAATTGTTATCTAAGACTTCAAACTTTTAATATTTACAATTGAGGCCAAACATATCCAGATTGTTATTGGTATGAATAAAAAGTGTTTTAGACCGGTTGTAATCTTTTTTGACCTAATAGTTTATTATTGAACACAATATATGAATAAATATATGGTACTGTTTGTTTAATTATTCAGACCAATATCGGTCCAAAAAAATAAATATTCAGACTTGATTCCAAGAGAAATTGTTTTAGACCAGCTTTTTTCAGTCTAACTTTTTAGACCGACATTGATATGCATATTTACTGCCAAACCGTTTTTTTTTTT